GTATAATATCAATTTATAGCATGCGATGAGATTACATATTTATAAAAATATATCCGCCTATTGAGTTAGATACATTATTGGTACATGAATATAACAAAGCAAATCATAATACTATCATGGGAATGTGTTATGAGATATCCATGTAATACTCTATTAGTTAATATGTAATTCAAGTAATTACAAATCTTGTGTACCAAGATATAATAAATTGGAATGCATGTATTAGTTTTTTTTAACATGTAACAAAATTATTATTTATATCTTATAAATAATAATATAATCTTTTTTAATATATTAGGTGGGTTTTTTTAACACATGAGACCCAAGGAGCTACCGGCTATAGCTTGTGATGCTACTAGTAACACGGTACTTTCAATGCATGATTCTCGTCATGATGTTTTTCATTTAATGAGGTTGGAGAGACTAAATATTTGGACAATACAATTAAAAAAAATGTTCATATTTATCATACACCATGACAACATACTTGCGGTCTAATGGTGTAGGACAAATTAATTTATTAGAAGTTTAACTATGTATTTTAAACTAACTTATAATTAAATTGATATTTTTATTTTAATGAATTATTTTGATACTAGGATTCTTATTTTTTAATTACAAATTTACATGCTATGAAAATTAGGTGATTTTGTTGGCTTGAACTATACATTTTGTTTCTGCTTTTGTGACTATACAAAACGTTGGCTTGAGCTATTTATTTTTGTGATTATGTAGAAGTTATTCTAGCAACCATGCTAGTTTAAAGAATAAGTTTTCCAGCCAGAAAGGTAAAAAACCTGTCTTTGGATGCTTAAGAGTTAGGATCCTGTCACTGCCATCTATGTCTCCACTTTCAATGCCCCTAAACTAATCTGAGCCCGCTTCAAAAGCTTGTTCCAATCCAATGTCAGTGCCTGGTCCGAGGGTGCTTTAGGTTGGTTCAGGACATTTTAAAATGACCCGAGGATCCAGGTCAAGGGTGGTTCCAACCTTCAAGAGTTTGTCAATGATTAAATTACATCGACGAATCGTATTCTCTAGTTAAATCTTTCATAGGTTATTTTTATTACTACACTAGATGACATTGGAAGATACGCGATCTATTGAAAATAATTTATACACGTTTTATTCATAAATGAATGCGTTGTTAGATTATATTCACGTCATTAAAATATGAAAAATAATTATATTACATTAAAGAATTGTTTGTTAAACTTTTTATAAGCTATTTTTATTTATTGCCTTGTATTATTATTATTATTATTATTTAATTCTCATTAGGAAACACCGGTAACATTGAAAAATACAATATCTATCAAAAACAATATATGATTTTTTTATTCGTGTGTATATTGTTAATTTATATTAATGTCACCTTAAGCTAAAACCAGCAGTTTATAATAATATAATTTTAAGTGATATTTTTTTAGTAATTGCTATTTTTAAGGGCTATATGTGTTTATTTTAATTAATCGTCAACTATCTTGACAATTAAAATTCTAAAAAAAAAGTTCAAAAACAAGCTAATAAAATGCATAAAATATTACAATTCATAAATATTTAAATATAAAAAATAAAATAACTGTTATTTAAAACCTCCTGTACTGTAAATAATAAAGACTAGATAAAAAAAAAAAAACCAAAGCCATTTCAACTTGATATAACAGGAAGAGATTAAATCCCATGCATGGCACATATATTATTGGATGCCCAAGGCCAAATTCTCTGGCTATTCCTCGTAAAATCATTAATTAAACGTCGAAATCTTTTCTTCCCACAAGGTAGTGAGGGGATGTTACATGGAAGATTCTCTCTCTCTCTCTATATATATATATATATGTGTGTGTAATATAAGTGTGCGGGTTAGATTATATGCATCTTGATAAATTTTGAAATTAATAATTATATATATTTTTAACAATTTTAAAATTTATAAAATTTAAATTAATAATTTTTAAAAAATAAATTTAAAATTTAACTAAGTTATAATTTCTAGAATTAATATAATTTTTTTTATCAATACAGATATTCAGTTAAATTATGTATATCTTTATTAGTTTACTAATTTTATAATTTTTAAAATTAATAATTATATAAATTTTAATAATTATTATATTAACATCAACATTACTTAAATAAAAAAACAAATATATATATGTGTGTGTGTGTGGGTGTGTTTTTAATGATTCTAAGATTTGTAGGATTTAAATTAGTAATTTTTAAAAAGTAAATTTAAAATCTAAACTATAATTTTAAGAATTAACATGAAAGAATATTATTTTTTTATTAATATAGATATTCAGGTAAATTATATATATTTTTATTAATTTTATGATCTTTAAAATTAATAATTATATAAATTTTTAATGATTATTATATTAACAACAACATTAATTAAATAAAAAAACAAACATTTTAATTTCAGAACACCTACTGGATATTTAATCCAAAAGGTAAAATCTCCATTGATGGAAGATCCTTTCCAGGTCAAGTGGTGGTGACAGTCTCCTGGTCACAACTCACAGCGCATGATTAAACCCACTGAATTTCAGCCTAGCAAGAGACCATCAGCATCAACCACTGCTATCAATGGGGAATTTACCTTTTATCACATCACATAGCTCTGTCAAGATGATTTAGAAATAGAAATTAGACAACGCAGTGGAGATAATCGCCCTTCTCATTATTTTAATCTCCTGTTTATACGACACAGCTCTCCATCAAAGACACGCTAGGCGGTATGATTGTTTGAGTAAATGAAAAGCTATGTTTTTTTCATGGAGAATATCTGTATTGATTGATCCATTGATTAGGAAATAAAATATTTTTTAATCTAGGTGACAATGTTCTTCTAATTCTTTATTTATCCAAATTTAATTTTATCTCAACTCTTTTATATTCATAATATAATATACTCTAAAATTTAACGTGTACAACAAGTTTTAAATAATCAAATAAATTATATTTTAAGATATCATCTATCATATATATATATATATATGTCATATTTATTATGTTAAGTATTTAAATTAAAATAATTTTTTTAAATGTATATCATATTTATGTTAAGTATTGATTAGGAAAGAAAATATTTTTGAATCTAGGTGACAATATTCTTCTAATTGTTTATTTATCCAAATTTAATTTTATCTCAACTCTTTTATATTCATAATATAACATACTTTAAAACAAACTTAACTTGTACAGCAAGTTCAAAATAATTATATAAATTATATTTTAAGATATCAGCTATCATATATATTATATTTATTATGTTAAGTATTTAAATTAAAATAATTTTTTTAAAAAATATTAGAATCTTGATAAATAAATAATTACGTGTTTAAATTTTATTATTTTTATTTTTTTTAGTTAAAAAATTAATTAGTAATATAATACAGACAAAGGGCTAAAGATTTCAAAAAAAAAAATTGTGGGGGAGTAAAAGATGCCCATATACAATGAAAAGATTGAATAATCTCTTAATTTTATAATGGTGGTTAATTCAACACCATCAAGGCGTAACACGACCGACTTACCTTGTCAACTACTAACGTTAATTCTTTGACCATCTAACTACTACTAACTTAACTGTAGGTTGCATGTTCTTATCCATGAAGTATCTAGTGGTAGTGATAAAGAAGTCATGAGTTAAAGTAGCCTCTCATCTTATAATCGACTCAGCTCTAATCAAGCAGCACATCTCTTTTGCTACGGAGCTGTTAACGTCGTTAACGAGGTGTAATGTCAATTTCAATTGAATTGATGTTTTATTTTTTAAAACTAAATTGAAATAAAAAAAATTAATTTTTTCAATAATTATGGTTGAACGAATACCAAATGAAGTCTAAATAATTAAAAGTGTGTTTGAAATTATGGTGGGTTGTTTTTTTAAATATTTATTTTTGAAAAAATAATTTTTTATTTTTTAAAATATATTCTTGATATTAAATTAAATTTTAATAATAAAAAAAAGGTTTAAAACATTCATTCAAATACGCGTGAACTATTGGTTAAATAACAACAGAAAATAAATAAAAAATTTACGCCACCCAAGCAATAAATAAGCGTGCACGAAGAACACGAGCGCCATGAAACCAACATCCCCTGCAAGAGAATCATTCACAGTGGCAACAGAAACAGTCAAACAGAATATGAGGGAGGCATGTTAGCCTCCAACATGGAGGAGCATCTACTCTTGCCTCCCCCCCCCTCTCTCTCTCACGTGAGTTAAAATTCTCCGCGAATCATCAAACAATCCTACATAGAAAAGAAAAATCAATGGAGAAATAAAAAACAGAAATGGCATATTTCTTCTCTAATCTCATGCTGCTGACCTCCATGCCATGTGGTGTGTGGCCCCCATGATGGAATCAGAAGTGGGATGGAATATAGTGGGAAAGTACTGTAGCTATCATGGGTACCAGCTCATTTTTAATTTTCTTCCTTCTTTCCTCTTCCCATAATCAGCACAAGAGGTCCTTATCTAGGGTCTGGCATCGGGTTCTGTAACTCCATATAAATATAAAGGCCTAAAAAATATTGCGAAGGAAGGGAAAAACAAATTGGGTCCTACATTAGAATTTTGCAAACACGATAAGCAAATAAGAAAAAAAATAAAATTGGTCCTACACGTAACCATGGATTTTGGGGGGACTCACTGAAAATTCAACAAAGGAACGTGGCTTGCATCCACATTTCGATGTTAAGCTCTCCCACTACCTCGATTCCGTTAAGTTTCTCATCTCTTTCTCGGTACACTTAGGGACACATCTTTTGTTTCTTTTTGGTTAAAGAGAGACATATCATGCTTGGAACCTTGTATGAGGATCAGTTGTTAAGTCATTTTTCCCCTTCTTTGGTGTGTTCTCTACGTGTTTCTGTGGCTGCTTGTTCATTTTGAAGATAAGCCTAAAAATGAAAGTTCTTGGCTTTCTTAGAAATCAGAGTTTGATTTATGTGGGATTTGGTTCTTGGATCCATTTCTTCTGGTAAGCAGCAAAAGTTGGTATCTTGCTTGATATTCCTTTTTCTTTTTCTTTTTAATTACTATATATACACACGCGACTATTTAAAGTTTGCTACTTTTTTTGGATGTTTGTTTCTCCGTTTACGCATTTCTTTTAAGTTACTACGTTGCTGGCTGGATTTGTGATTTTGATTCTTAATTGGGTTTTGGATTTGTTTCTTGGAAAGGTGGTGCAAGAAGGGAGATATTAGTTTTCTTCAATGGTCATAGTGATTTCCTTTCAAGCATTTTTAGATTTTCTTTCTGTACTGAAATTTGGAGTAAGGTGAATTTAAAAGGAAACAAATGAAAGGAGTCTGTTTGGCTGAGAAGAGTGTCGTTGAATTGAAGTGAGGTAGTTAGATTCGCAGGGCTGGCCTTGTGTTTTGCAATTACACCTTTTTGTTGAATTTGGGCCAACCCCGTAATTTTTCTTGAATACGTAAGTAATTTGTGAACTCCTTCTTCCTTCTCTATCACTCCGTGGGATTCAGTTTCAGTTTATTTCATGTAACATCTGCGGAAGAGGCACCTCGCTTGTTCCTTTTCTCCTTGTAATTCTTACTCTTACTCTTCCTCTTCATTTCTTTTTCTTTTTTATGCAATTCCCATTTGCAAATTGCAATCTTGTTTTTCTATTTCACTAAGAACCAATATCACAATCATAGAGTCCTAAAGAAATTGTATTGTTTGCTATTATAACTCTGATATTGATAGTTATATTGACATTGTTAATTGTCACAAGACGTCTTTGTAGTGCCTCAATTTCCTGTTTGAGGTGAGAAACAAAGTTAAGTAACATCAAGAAAGGAAAGCCCTATGATATTGGTATTGTGGCAGAAAAGTGAAAGCTTCAAGATTTACTCAATTACAAGCAATATATTCGAGCCAACATGGATGCCTGCGGTTTGCCTTTTTCTATGTGCTTTCCCCATCAGTTTTTTCACCACCACTAATGATTTTGAATTTTTACCTTTTGTTTTCTTTTTTCCCCAATTGTTTTGATTTTTTCGGAGATCCTGATTTGAAATGTATGAGTATTAGCTTTCTTCTCATGCATGCTTCTTTTTGCAGTATACTGATGCTAGCTGTTCAAATTGCTTTTCAGATTCCTCTGCGATATGACCTTGGCAATAAGAGGCTTATATGATTCTGGAGCTTTCAAGTTTATATCGATTAGTTGGAGACAGATGATTGAAAACAAAGTTGTCTGCCATTGGTTTACTTTGTTAGATTAGAGGCTCAAGATGGATGATACATCTGCCAATGCTCAAAAGGATGGCCAGGGTAAAGAGGATTCATTGCATAGCTTGAACCATGGAAGAGAATTATCTGGTGACAATGAGCCGGACTGTTCCCAATCAAAATCGGAGAGGGTGATGAGAAGGGTATATTCACATCGCTATCTGCATTTAAAAGTTAAGCAATTGCAACGCAGTAAAAGTTGCATCAAAGATTCATTCCTTCAAGGCATTCATGTCCTAGACAATTGGATTCCAAAGCATATAACAACCATCGATGAGAACTATCTTCGTCGTTGCCTAGAATTTATACATGCCAGCACTTCTCAGTCGGCTCCATGCAATGTCTCTATGTACTTGGATTGGGGAAATGTAGGTTTTTTCTCTGATGACCTGAATATAGCTAAAACTGGGAGTGAAAATACATATGGTTTGGCCAGGTTTGATTATGACTGTCCATTAGCTGGGACTGGGAATGTGGTCATTAGCCCAGCAGAACAGTGGATTGTTGGTTCGATCATGGGTAGCAAGAGCACGGTGAATATACTAAAGAGTCCTTTATTGCTCCGGTATGGTTCATATGACAATGATGCCAGTTTTGAGAAAGTGAGTTCCAGCGTGGTTAAAGGACCAATATGTTTTAATGTGATGAATTCTCCTAGTGGATTACGTGGTTATTCGCCACACAAGCTTGATAAAGAAGCACAAATTCCTGGAAGCCATAAATTTGGATCAGAGACTTCGCACAAAAGGCTTATTTCTATGTCGAGCTCAAACTCTACATGTTCTGATCAGTCTTCTTCTTCTCCGTCTGCTACTGTTACTCAGGGGACCCTCCAATGCACATGGAAGGGTGGAAACCCACATTTTGTCTTCTCCATAGACAATCAGAAGATGGTCTATGTGGCAAACATGTATAATGTTGATTCAGCAGATGATAAGGCTCTGGAGTATGTGTATTTATTCCATTCAAGGAAAGGTTCCCAAAAGGAACATATGAATCATGATAAAGAGTCGCACCTTGTAGGTAAGATGAAGGTGTCAACTTCTTTTGCTCTTTGCCCAAAAAATTCAAGAATCACTCAGAGAGAATTTGTTTTATTTGGTTATGAAAATTATGTGGGAGAGTGGCAAAGTTCAAGCCACGACCTCAGGAAGAACAAGGGATTGTCAAGCAGGGTGGCAGAAGTTTTCAGGACCAGTAACTCATCCAAGAGGAGAACTAACTCCAGATTTGGTGGATCCGGTGCCATACTAGAGAATTCTTCTTGGGAGCCATTTGAAGAGAGAGATAACAACATGGATGCACTTGGTGGCACCAATCTTTTAGAAAATCATCTTCCACCAAATCTTGAATTGGCTGCCATTTTGGTGAAAGATCATCTTCCTGAAAAGGGTCAGGAGAAGGTTGGAGGTTGGGGCTTGAATTTTCTCAAGAAAATGGCTGTAACGCAAGCAGAAGATGTGAAATCCTCAGTGCTCCCTGTCTGTTGTGCCCAAGATAGTGGTGATTGCTCAACAAGCATTGATATTCTCATTCCAGCTGGTCTTCACGGAGGTCCAAGGACCAGAAATGGTGGTCCTTCTTGTCTTATTGATAGGTGGAGATCAGGTGGACACTGTGACTGTGGTGGCTGGGACCTAGGCTGTCCATTAACAGTATTTAAAAGCAGATCAGCCCACAAAGAGTTTTCATCTCTAGCAGATATGCAAGGGGAGTGCAAGTTAGTTGATTTGTTCATAGAGGTGAGCCACATTCTATAAAGGCTTTATCCATGCTATTTAAGGTGTCCGTTGCTAGTGGTGTCTCAATGGATATAAGCCAAAGCAACTGATAGAATTTGCTCCCTTTTTTTTTATAAATAATTTTTGTTTCAATTTTTTTTTTGTTTCTTTGTTTCTTCTCCTCAATTTGTGGATTCTTTTATAAGTATTAAATCTAAGCATGACCCTACTCTAATTTTTCAGGGTTTAGAGAATGGTGCCCCCCCAATGAGTATGGTGAATGTCCATGATGGCTTGTATTTTGTGCACTTTCAGTCAACATTGTCAGCTCTGCAATCCTTCTCAATTGCAGTGGCATTTATCCATACCCAAAAAGTCCCAGTCTCCAACCAAAATATGTACAGGAGTTGACATAGGAAGATTTGTGGTTCAGCTTGATCTAGTTGTAACTCCCCTACTGTATCACAGCACTTTGTAAGTCAAAATTTAAGTAATTTATACATGAAGTAGGTTCATTTTTGAAGTCTTTTGTTTTGATAGAATGTTTAGGATCATATTGTTCTTGCTGGTGATTGGGATTGGTTACCCTTTGACTTTCGGTGAAGAAACTCATGGAACCTCTATTCTATGATTGATTGCACAATTATTTTTTATGAAAAGATGTATTTTTTATGAATTTTTTTTTTCATAAGGGCAATTATTTCTGGTGATTCGGATTGGTGCTTTTGGCTATTACATGCACTTCTCTAGGGTATATGGTGGCATGTGCTTCGTAAATGGCTTAACTCATGGTGCTCCACAAGAGCGCAAATTGAGCAGTTAAATTTATTAATTTTCAAGTGGAAATAACTGGGATCCTTTTGTGGCTCATGATGATTCATGTTAATGCATGGTTCCCAATCATTAACCGAAACCTGTCAAATATACGGCTTGAAGACTTCTTGCATTTGTAGGTAATGTGAACTCCAACTGTTGCTATCTGCACTGGTGAATTTTTTATTGGAGTCTTTCTCTTCTTAATCATATGCTATACACCTATTAAATCTATGGTCCTAAAGAGCCGATTGGTTTTTCTGGGTATAAGCACAACTCCATTTGTACTCACAAACTAAAACACGATATTGCAGTTTCCGCTTAGCTTTGTTGTATTTGCTGTTTATTTATGTAGTGTTATAGTGCTAACATACAAGTGTAGATTTGTCTTTTGCATACTCCTTTTAAAAAAATTCAATCCCTAACTCTTTACATTTTAAGCAGCACGTGTTGAGCAATAACATGTTTAGCATGCAGTAATTCATCCTGTAGGCGTGTGATCACATTCAGGAGTTAATTTCTGTAAAAAAAAAAAAAAAACTGATATAGATTGTATAGCTCAATTTTGCATTTCCTGGTAAAATCATGATATGGGATTCCCACAAGCAAACCTGCACGTTTCCTTTTTAGGTTATGCCTCTCTCATTGCTAAGTACGAGCAGCTCATTCTAATGCCCATGTTGTTTTGTTGAACTGGGAAAGTTCAGTTGCAACTTAACTTTCCTGAATGTGTGTTGTGTGTGTTTATGATATTGTCATTCTAATACCCATGTTGTTTTGGGCCAACTGGGAAAGTACTGTTGCAACTTGAACTTTCCTATATATATGTAGTGCATGTTATGCTGTTGTTTTATCTTCAACCAGGCTCTGATTTTAGACAGCCTTCAGTTGGCTTGGCCTGACCAGTTATGCTTCAAAGGTTCAATAAGTCAAGGTAAGCTTAGACCCCTCCAGCTTTTTTCTTTCTTCCGTTTCCTTTGCAGTTTTTTTTTTTTAAAAAAAAATTGGAACTAATAAGTCTGGTCTATGGAATCAAAAGATGATTCATCGAATATGATGGAAAAAGTGAAATGCAGCATCCTTTGCCTTAGATGTTTCTGGAGCAAACTTAAATAGGACTGATCTCAAAAGCTCGCATGACGTGGTACATGGTTAAAGCGTAAAGATTTTATTTCACCCATTTAATTATCTTCTATGAATATATCTATGCATTGTATTTTTTTTCTTTCTCTGAACAATCATGGTAGCGTTCTCCTCTGTACATTATTTTTATTGTTTCTTTGTGGATGCAAGAGAGACTTGTTTCTCTGCTTCTATAATCTGGCAGGTGAATTTTTGATACATTCCGTGGTCCTTCAGTTCGTCAAGTTGAATTTATCGGTTTGTACACTAAAGAACTGGGTAAGTTCTTGCTTTTCTTTACCGTAATATATTTGGTTGAAATATAATAAATCCCGCTATGTATTAATGAAGGAAGAGTTGTGTCTAGCAACAATTTTCCCTGGCACGCCCCTTATAATGGACGACAGTAATATGCTGTGTCTTTTAGCATTGCAAGGAGCTCTCTTGACTTTTCATCTTCCCTTGTTAGCTTCTGTTAACGTAGGCAGCACTCAGAACCAGGAAAGAAAGTAGCTGGACAGGAGTAGGTAGGAGATTTAATTTGGAGCAACTTATTCATTAATTAATCACTTTATCTGTTATAACTAGACATGATTTGACTCCGTAAATTTCTTTTTTATCATCTGTTACATTCACTGTATATTATAAATGGTGCGCAGAATATTATGATATATGAACACGAGTTCAAGTGAATACTAACTGGAACAATGGAACTGTTTGAGATACTTTTTATGGTGGCTGAGTCCTTTCTTCCTTACTGGTCACCTATAGTTACCGGTCATGTATATATTGCGTAGTTGGGTAGCAATGCTTTGTATTCAACCAAACATGATGATGTAATAGGTAGCATGGATTTTCTGCCAGACGAATTATAGAGAACTTTCTCTAGGTTGTCTTTAACTCTTGACCTTTGGGACAGTTTTTATTCTGATGCAGGGGAGATTACATTGCAAATCTTCATGATCAAGGCAGGCACCTTCTTGTCAGATATTGAATCATGGAAAACAAGCTTATCGTGATCAGGGCATCATCCTCCCATAATTAAAAACGCTTTACAATCGATCATTCCGCTTGCATAGCAAGTCTTTGCCCCTGCATCTGACAGGCAAAATGTACGCGTCTTTCCAGGATCATGACTTTACTGTCTCAAAGTTAACAATGTTATCCTAACCATAAAAGAGGTTCCGTTCATCGGTTGACTGAATGCTGGGCCTGCTTGTCAAGGCATGCTCTGTAAAGATTATTTAATTTGACGAGGAGAATGCTTGGATCTTGAAATAGCACAGAAGGGTTACATTACGGCGAGAAAGGACAGTCTTGTAGCGTGTAAACTTGTCAATTTCTCCTCCCTGCTTTCTCTCTCACAAAATTTCATATTTCACGTCAACTAGACCACAACTTCTATACCAGTCTCGAAAGTTTTAAAATTTCTAGAGGAATTACAGAAATGGCTCGGTTAACTGGGTCTAAATTCAAGCAGACAAGGAACTCCCGTTCTTAAAAAAATCAGTTGCATCATCTCCTCCCATGGTGGTGATTTTTGTTTTAGGTTGTTTTACTTGGTGTTGAAGAATCAGAAGGAAGATAACGACCCTGCTTTTGGAAAGATAGGAGCATGAACCTCGCCCGAGTTCTGTCTGTGGAGCTATTTTCAGAAGCTTTACATGAATCAAGAGCACGGAAAATCAAGAAAACGAACTAGAGCGCTCCCTGGTTTCCCAATGAACGGAGTTTCCCTTGCATTTACTAAAGTGTATTTAAGAAAATTTAATAATTGTTTTTTTAATATTGACTTAAAAAAAAGTCTCTTTTCTCACTAGATTGACCCTTTAGATTACTTGTAGTATTTACATTACAATTAATTTATCATGTGAAAAAAAAAAAAACACAATTTGAATTTTCTTTAAATTTCTTATTTTTCAAAAATTCTTTAGAATCTAAGTGTTTATTTTCTTTTATATCAGCATATTAAAATAATAATAAAAAATATTAAATTGATATTTTTTTCAATATAATTTTTTTTTAAAAAAGAATTAAAATAAAAGTTTTTGCATTCGGTTCTCAATGTTGAATCATTAAATTTGGATAGGCTTGTTTTACAAATTCAAATACGACTAGTTTTTTTTTTTAAAAAAAAAATGATTAAAGATGAATTTAACTTTTCCATCCTCATCCCATGTTTGTTGGATTCGTGAGAAATAATCTTTTTCTCTATAAAACTTGGGGCAAGTTAAAAAATTTCTCATTAACACACTGAGAAAAACAAACATTAAATTGATATAAATACTAAATCTCAATATAACTATGAACATTAATTAAATATGAATAAAAATGAGATAGATTAATTTAAAAAAATACTTTAATAGATAAATTCTCAAGAAGTATATTTCACGAAAAACTAATAATAATGATGTTGTGAGATTGAGTTTTTCACATAACCGGAGGCAACGTTCCTTGTACCCATCTTTATTTATTTTACATCTTTATTTATTTTATTATAGAAAACACTAAAAGGTTAAAGTTTTTAATTGTACACTTAAATTGTCATTCTCTTATTTTACTGTGGACTCTTTTTTTTTATCCTGAAATTTTTTTTACATCATTGCATCTTTTTTGGGCTAAATAAAAGGATAGTTGAATTGGATTTGTTGACCGAACATAAAATTAAAAAAATATTAAAATGAAAAAGATGATACAAATAAATGATGGTTTTAAAGTTCTCGTAAAAAAAGTTCATTTTGTCCTCACACTCCACATATTATACATATTTGATCATGCAATACTTTTTTAATTTGATTTTAGTATAAAAAAATATTTTTGTTATTTTTTAGTGCTTAATTTGAAAAATAAGAGGGAGATTGCTGAATTTTAGTAATGAAAAGAAAAAATTATTATTGGTTCCAATTTCAATCATTAACATAGTTGATTATTTTGTCAAATGATTACATATGAAAAGAGGAATTCAATTTATATTTTTTTCTTACACTAAAAGTGCATAAAAAAATAGATATAAAATCGAGAAGATTTTTAGTTTCTATTTGATTTTTGCTTTCAACTAGTTTTTTATTTTTTCAAGTTCATTGTTTTGGTAAAAAAAAAATGATTGGAAATGAATTTTAGGTAAAAAACTTTCATCCCATTTTTTTGGCCATTATAATAGCTAAAATCTAAGCAAAGTTAAAAAGCATGTTATCTAACTTATTTTTTAAAAAAACAATTGGTATCAAGTGCTAGTCTGCCTTTTTAAATGCCTTACTTTTTTTCTTCCTATAATTTAGCTTTTTCTAAAAAATCATGTTTTTTTATATTTGTTGTTTAAAATATTTTTTCTAATTTATATTTAAATTAATAAACCTTCTCTCTATTTTTTATTTTTTGTATTTAGCTTTTTTAAATAGTGATTGTTTTTAAGTATTTATTTTTTGAAGAGATTTTTCTAATCCATTCATAATTTTCCTTTTTATGTTTTATATAATTGAATATTTTTTTCTTACACTAAAAGTGCATAAAAAAATAGATATAAAATCGAGAAGATTTTTAGTTTCTATTTGATTTTTGCTTTCAACTAGTTTTTTATTTTTTCAAGTTCATTGTTTTGGTAAAAAAAAAATGATTGGAAATGAATTTTAGGTAAAAAACTTTCATCCCATTTTTTTGGCCATTATAATAGCTAAAATCTAAGCAAAGTTAAAAAGCATGTTATCTAACTTATTTTTTAAAAAAACAATTGGTATCAAGTGCTAGTCTGCCTTTTTAAATGCCTTACTTTTTTTCTTCCTATAATTTAGCTTTTTCTAAAAAATCATGTTTTTTTATATTTGTTGTTTAAAATATTTTTTCTAATTTATATTTAAATTAATAAACCTTCTCTCTATTTTTTATTTTTTGTATTTAGCTTTTTTAAATAGTGATTGTTTTTAAGTATTTATTTTTTGAAGAGATTTTTCTAATCCATTCATAATTTTCCTTTTTATGTTTTATATAATTGAATTTTAGTTTAAAAAATAAAAACTTTTTCATGGATTGCATTTCTAATAAGTGCAACATTGCGACTTATTTATTTTTTCTCTTTGATTTTATTCAATTAATTTTAAGTATATGTTCATTTTTACTATTATTTGATTGAAATTCATTTATAATTTTCTTTTTTATGTTTTACATGATCGAACTTTATTTTAAAAAATAAAAACTTATTTATGGATAGCATTTCTAATAAGTACAACATTTCAATTTATTTTTTTCGCTTTGATTTTATTCAATGAATTTTACATGTATATTCATTTTTACTATTACCTGATTAAATAAAAAAATATTTTGTATATACAGGGTCATTGAATAGAATAGGTTAAATGAATCATGTTGCAAAATAAAATATCTTGATCTACATCTATTTCTTGATTTTTTAAAATACATATTTAATTATCTTTAATAATATTTTTTATTTTTTGATATATATGTTTCTCGATTTATTTAATTAAATGCATGTATAAGTTTCTCAATTCATATTTAATATATTTTTATGCAAGAAAATATGTCAAAAAAAGCATACATATTATATTAAAATATTTATTTTTAATATTAACATATTAAAACAATACAAACAAAACTCGATTTTTTTTTTTTAATAATTTTCAAAACGCCGCGGAACCTCAATATGAAACACTGCCTTAGTCGGATAGAAATTGGGAGGGGTAATTTGGCATCGCAAGAGCCAGGCCCAGGATTTTGAATAGGGCCTGGGAGTCTGAATTGGGTCTGTATTTTTATAACGATTTGACGAGGCCCCTCTTTTATTTACTACAAGGACATAACCGGAAATATGAAAGCCCGTATACAAAAACCCTAGAATCTGAAAGCCGTCTATATAAAGTCCCCAAACCCTAACCTCCCTCCCCGATTTCCCTTCAGCAGTCGAAGATGTCGAAGCGAGGTCAGTTCTCTATCTTCTCCTTACGCTCTCTACTTTTCTTTTCTCTCTGAATTCCTAGGAAATGACACAAAACAGAGCAAAGTCATCACAGATCTCTTGCTTTGTTTCTGCTAATATTCAGAATCATCACAGATCTCTTGTTTTGTTTCTCATAATAGTTAGATCCTAAACACTGTTGTTCTTGTTGTTGTTGTTGGTGGGTTGAATGAAAATACAGGACGTGGAGGATCAGCTGGTAACAAGTTCAGGATGTCACTGGGTCTGCCAGTGGCAGCAACGGTGAACTGTGCTGATAACACTGGTGCTAAGAACCTTTACATCATATCCGTGAAGGGAATTAAGGGTCGCTTGAACCGCTTGCCTTCTGCTTGCTTTGGTGATATGGTATTGGCCACTGTCAAGAAGGGGAAGCCTGATCGCAGGAAGAGGGTTCTGCCTGCTGTCATTGTTAGGCAGCGTAAGCCTTGGCGCCGAAAGGATGGTGTTTTCATGTATTTTGAAGGTCATTCTCTTCCCCTCTGTTATTCTGATCTGGTCTCTTGGTATTTTGATATTGCTGTTCTTTTTCAACCATTGCGTTTTATTTTATCTTTCTTTTTAACTTGTCGCGTGTTATTTGTTTATAATTTGAAATTTTATGAAACACATTCGATTCAGATCTATTTGTGTAATAAATAAGCGCATGTAGATTCTCATGTCTGTTGAAATAGGGTTTGCTGGTAACAAGCGTCATGATGCATGCATTTCTCCTTTCTGAGTTTGTGTGCGTTTAATGATATGACGCTACCTTAGCCCAGCTACATTGAACTTGATCGAATATTTATCGAGTGTGAACTCTCTTATTTAGAATTACACTTTTCGCAATTCGATAAACTCTTATTTGGAAACTTTCTATGTGAACTGATTCCAACAATGCCCATGCCTGAAGTGGTGTTTGAATGGTTTATCACCGGTGATGTGATGTTGAACATTTTTTATGACAGTTTCTCTTCTCCTCGCCTACCCACTGAGATTGTATTTACTCACCTTAACCCAATCTGGATGGTGATTTTGTGTTATCATCCCTGTCAAGTCTGGGCCATGCATATTATGTTTAGTTTAGTTTGAGGTTGTTCTGTATTGCATTGGGTTATTGTTTGTTAATTAATTATTCAAACAACTTGACCATATTTCTACCAATAGATGAATTCATTGCCGTCATAGCATAATTCATTCGGTGGTTTTGGTAGGCTAACATGACATGTTACCAGGCATATGTCAGGTATCCTCCTAAGTACAATGGTTGATACAGTTACTTGTCTGATAAATTGACCGTGTCCCTCGTTACAGATATGCTGAGTCTTTTAATTTGCATATCTGCTCCATTTGGACCCAGCATTTATACATTTGAAAATGATTTTTTTCTTTGATGTTGCAACAATTCCACTCTAATCGATAGTCATTAGGAATATCTGCATCATGTTTGGTTATGTATCTATTTTGTTAGGGGGGGTGGGAATTTCTGATTGCACTAGATTGTAAAAGTAAAGTTTAACCTTATCACAACTCTGCTATTTGATATCTAAAGTAGGCTGTTTTTATGGCTGTTTGCTCGAAGGATTTTAAAAAATAATTGTTTGTTCCTGAATCAGAAGCTTTTTTGTTTTTTGGCAGATAATGCTGGTGTCATTGTGAACCCCAAAGGAGAAATGAAAGGTACACAGCTAATACTTGTATGCAACCCTTAGTTTTTTACTCAACATCTGGGTCAATGACAGCCACCATTCTTCCAGGGCTTTGAGATTGTTCGATTCTGTTTGCATTTTTTCTTTTTTGTTCACATTTCTCTTTGCTGTTTCTTTCAGGTTCAGCAATTACCGGTCCAATTGGAAAGGAGTGTGCTGATCTTTGGCCTAGGATTGCAAGTGCAGCTAATGCTATCGTTTAAGAGCTTTAATTTATCTGTTCCTTTTCTTTGGGAAGCATACTGTCGTCAAGTCCTATATGTTTTTGTAGGGTTAATTTTAGTTGTGTTTTTGATATTTCGTCGAAATTTTTGTTTGGAGCTTTATATGCAGTAATGAACTTCATGGATTTTGTGCAAGAAAGTTATTATTTTGGAGTTGATTTCAAGTTTTCTGGCAGCTTTTCATCTAAATTTTTATCCCTATAAAAAAAGCTCAATCCTTCGTGTCATCTTTATCTGCAGTCTCTGATGGATTCATGGGCCGTGCTCGCTCAGTTGCCACTGTTAAACAGGAGCGCATGTAATTTTTAGAGTTGTTTAAAATAATGAAGTTAAAAATAAAAATCAGATTCAAATTTGTAACTTTTCATCAAACAATTAATTTACAATTATTTTTTAAATTCGCACTGAAATTGAAAAACATAACGTTTTACGTTGTACATTTTATACTATTTTCCAACGAAGAAAATTAAAAGATATAAAATACACTGTTCTTCATTATATAATACATTGAATTGTTTTTAAGTTTTCTTCGCAAATTAATGTCATAATTTATTATTTATTATTGGAAGCTTTATATAAAATGTTATTCCTTTTTTAGAAGTCAAGCACAATTGTTTTTATAATTTTAATTTGAATGAAATAAAAATAGTATTTTTATGGTTAGATGATCTTAAATACAAAAGATTAATATTGTTTTGTTTTTTTAATATATATATACTAGTCGTGTTCTTGATGTTCTTCTAATAAATACAATTTTTAATTTTTCACTTGAAAAAAAGAAAATGGAGAAAACACTTGGGAGATAAGAAGTAGTAAACATGCACTTAGTTTTCCTATCGATTGAAATATCAATTTTCTTTAATTTGGGGCATCTTGGCCAGCATGTGAAGTAGAATCAAGTTACAGTTCCTACTTTCTTGATCCATCTCCCAGAAAATATGTTTTTAATAAACCACATTTCCCCCGCTTACCATGTCACCTTCGAGTCCTCTTGTGCAGAAAAAGACGGGGAAGCTTCTCGGCTTCTATTCGTGTTTCTCGAGCTTTTTCGTCAGCGCAGCATTTGCAAACTGAAATATCGTCGCGTAGCTTCTTTAGACAGGAAGCCTCCTTCATCCCTTGCAAGAACATAGAGAAGCCCCCACTCTAACTTAGCTATGATCCTGCAAGCCGTTTCTCAATCGCATTAGTGTAGTTTCAAAATCAAGTGTATTGGGTTAGGAAACAGACGTGAGCCTGGAAATAAACCATCCAAAGATATCAAAAGCATTATGTTGTCCCTCCGTCAGTGTCCAGAGCTCTCTGAGTGTTAACTTGTCCGGCGTTACTTGCTGCAAATGTTTTCGAAATTCACTGGCATATACCTGCACATATATCCAGTAATCATGGGAGTAAAATTTTAATCTTCAAGGGTGATCTAGATACAGTTCATAATTCTCCACCTTCCTTTGTGTCATAAGTTGCAGAGTCACTTCCATGCTTGACTCTCTGCATGTTTTGTATGTTTATAGGGAAAAGGGAAGAAGGGAACCATCCCTGGAAATGAAATCAATACAGCATGACAACAGCCTCCTTTCTCCATAATAGTAAGACAAAGAATTTGCTTGGATCTCGAAACAGATTAGGAAATTCAGCCGATCATGAGAGTCACAAACACTTGAAATATACGTTTAGTTTACCATTTTGCATTTGATCCTTCGTGGAAAGTGTCTTTTCATAGCAAAAACAAAGCATGGTTTACTTACAAGAAGAGTGGCATAGCACAGAGCATAGTACTCTGTGTGGATATGTGGATTACTCCATGAAACCCAGACATTCCACCCCCCCCCCCCCCCCTTTCCCAGTTATTTTCG